GGAGCAACCAAAAGCAATTCCTTTTGGCGAAACGACTGTTGTCATTCAGCAAATCGATTCGAATTATAGTTTTGACTTATTGGCCGTGAAATCATCGTCGCCGAGTATGCTAGAAAATAATGAGGGTGTGGGTGTGGGTGTGGGCGTGTGTGCGTGTGGGTGTGGGTGTGGGTGTGGGTGTGGGTGTAGGTGTGGGTATGGGTGCCTGGGCGTAGGCGTGGGCGTGGGTATGTGTATAAGTTACCACGATAACCTAATTTTAGGATTATTTCAGATCTTTCTGACTCAAACTTATCAAGTGGCCTTAGTACCAGTTGAGAGAGATCCAAAAACGAATTTGGAATCCAAACATGATACTTGAAATATCTACTTGTAAAGTAAAAACTTTCAAGTAGATACACTCACTTAGAGAAGTGGGTGTGTATAAGTTACCACAATAACCTAATTTTAGGATTATTTCAGATCTTTCTGACTCAAACTTATCAAGTGGCCTTAGTACCAGTTGAGGGTGTGGGTGTGGGTATGGGTATGAGGTGTGGGCGTGGGTGTGGGTGTGTGGGTGTGGGTGTGACTGGGTGTTGGTGTGAATGTGGGTGTGGGTGTAGGTGTGGGTGTAGGTGTGGGTGTAGGTGCGGGTGTGGGTGTGGGTGTGGGTGTAGGTGCGGGTGTGGGTGTGGGTGTGTGGGTGTGGCTGGGTGTAGGTGTGGGTGTGGGTGTAGGGGTGGGGTGTGGGTGTGGGTGTGGGTGTGGGTGTCGGTATGTGGGTGGGTGTGTGGGTGTGTGTGAGTGTGGGTGTGGGTGTGGGTGTGGATGTGTGGGTGGGTGTGTGGGTGTGGGTGGGTGGGTGTGTGGGTGGGTGGGTGTGTGGGTTGGTGGGTGTGGGTGTGGGTGTGGGTGTAGCTATCAGAAGAAGGGAATGGCACACTCATATCGACACCCACACCTACATCCTCACCCTCACTCACATCTACACACCCACACTACCAACCCACGCCCACGCTCACCCACACTCACACCCACACTCACATCCACATTCACACCCACATTCACACCCACACCCCACACTCACCCTATTCATACTAATCATTCAACAATTGAATGAATTATTATCGATGCCCATGTAAGGATAACCTCACTCTGACGGAACATCCACACTGTCTTTATTTAGAAGCCTTGGTGTAATTGAACCACATCCATAGTTAACAATTTTTTTCATATCTACTTAATTAGACGCTTCATCGACTCCAATTGTGATATAACTGCATCAAAATTGGGTAGTCATATGCTGAATACGAACGTATATGTTTTACACATCATTGACGCTTTAAAAACATGTTCGTACATAATTATGGAATAGTTGAAGCGTAAACTTAATTATTATATTGGTGTTTTAGTTGGTAAAAAAACTACTCATTCATGTAACTAACAAGAAATGTGTTGACGTCGAGTGCAGCTGTAAGCCATTGAAGGTAAGCAGACGAAACTTGGCAGTTGTGAATTCCAAATTTTTGACTTCCTTCACTAATCAGTTATCTATATTAGGTCTAGTCCATAGAATATCTAGCACCATGGCAAATAAAGACATGTTGAAATAGGATTTTCAACGATTCGTATGAGTGTGCTGATTAACTCTTTTATTAGTAGTACAAATCTAAAGATGTTCGACTGAACTAAGGAAACACTTTTCCAGTTAAAGTTAAAGTGAATCTAATCTGGGTATTCTGGTAGATAGAATATCAAGGATACGGTTGTGAATAATCATAAGGAGAAAACAATGACTGCACTCATACACCCACATCGTCATTCAAACCTGAACCTTTCGAATTTAAAAACCATACTGATCGTAGTTTTTCATTTCAGAAACTTGGTTCAATAGAAGCAATACGAAATTTATCAGTGTTCCACATGGCTACAGGTGGAATTGATAATGTAGAGCGCATTCTGCGTATTACAGATATACCACAAAATCCGAACGAAATTCTCATGCCAATCAGTGGCTATGAGGAAATGCCACTCGTTCCGATTGAAATTGCCGTCGAGCCGCTCGTTACTCTCGTGCATGATATTGAAAGGTATGCCCGAATTGCTAAAAACCGATGTAAGAAACCTGCTGATGATCTATCCGAAGACGAGTCAGCGTCGATCATGCTTTACTCGATGGGATGGAGTCCAAGTGATCAGTGTCTCTATGTCGTCTTAAATGCGACCCTTCGTTCAGAGGACAGAAATAGACTCAAACCATGGTTTCTCTATCTAAGACTTCTTCTTACGGCATTGTCACATCTTCCATCAAAGAATCGAACTGTCTTTCGAGGCATTAAATTAGACTTAAGCAATATATATGTACCAGAGCATATTGTAGTTTGGTGGGGATTTTCCTCGTGCACTAAATTCGTTCATGTTCTGCAATCCGAACAATATCTTGGCAAGACAGGCAAAAGAACAATGTTTGCTATCGAATGTGATTCAGGCAAAGACATTAGCAAGCATTCATATTATCCAAATGAGGACGAAGTACTTCTTCTTGCTGCTACTCGATTTCGCGTTATCAGTTGTCTCGATAATGGCTACGGTTTTCGAACAATTCAACTCAGAGAATTACAGTCACCTTTGCTATTGCCACAGCCAAAGATTTCGGTCAAGCCGTCTCCCAAATCTGTTCTAAGTAAGTGAAAGATAGCGAAGCCAAACAAGTTAATTCGATGTGTTCATCATAGATACAAGTTTTAAATGTCTCATATAGGACAACAAGAAAATGCTGTGACTGACGTTATAGAATTCAGAAGAGAGTTTGTCGGTGATTGCTGCTCAAAAAATACATGACGAGTGAACCGATGCTTCTTGCTCATTCGTCTCACTCTTACTCATACTCTAAAAGAACTGTATTCAAAAACAAACGAGCGTTACAGTTCAACTTATATACGCTTTGATATTTGTATCTTCAACATACATACAGTCGGCTATTGTGAATATTCGATGTTTCTTCCATGTTTTTTTGCGATTTAGTGAATGCTTTGTTAAATTTTTTTGCCCTTTAGAGAAAAGATTATCAAGAAGCATCGAACTGCTACCCAAAAAACTGTGTCTCATTACTCTGATGATATCGTTCTTAGTATTCATTTCTTTTCGCTTGATCTTTTGCAAAATATAGATGTGTTTATGTTCTAAAAATAGCAAGCTATGTATTTTTTTAAGTAGCATATATTATACTCTAACAAATAACGGAAACAAACAATCCAAGATGAAAAATATCTTATCGAATTCTTTAGACTCCACGTTTCAACTTTCTAATAATGTGTCTTTCGATGCTGCTTTCTTCTGGCTAATAGTTTGTCAAAAATTCGTTTCAAAATGAATATCCCATTAGTTTTTCATGTGGATGATTCAATAGCCAATGGTCTTAATTTATGAACGAGAGAAAACTGTCCTGACACTATTTTTGTGCTACGCTATAGATATGAGGTATCGCATCGTTCAGTTGAAATAACGAATGTTTTCAAAGGCCTTATAATCATATTTTTATGCTACTGATAGAGTATTCCGAGTGTGCATTCAACATGATCTTCTATTCCTTGGTCGAAAAGAACCACAACGATCACTGCATTGGAACAAACACCCAGTCAGATCGTGAAATTTTGTGAGAAAAATTTTGTTTCTTTTTAATGACACAACTTTCATTTGGTGTAGCACGGCTTCGGAATCGGCGAGCTGTGTAGAATAAAAATAGCCACAGTCACACCCACACCTTCAAGTTCCAGTAGCTACTGAGAAAATGGATACATTATAACGCTAATGACATTCTGATTTTTATTTGTGTTGTAGAAAAAAAACAGCCTCCAAAAAAACCAACAAATGCATATAAACCACCAAGCAGATATCATAATAATATTTTGCCAGCACCAACACCACTACCACTAGTACCACTTCCAGCACCAATATCCACTTACCAACCAGTCCAGTTTTGGCAACCGACTCCGCAACTCACAGGTCAGAGTTTGAATACATATATAAGAGTCATCAAATAAAAGGAACGCCACACTTCGCCAAAAATGCATGCTTTTTCAACTTAGAAAGGTTGCTATCTAATAGGAGCTTGATAACTTTTATATAATATAGACGTACATTGCTACATAGTATTATATTGAGAAATATTTCGTTTTTCATTTTAGTGCATCCAGTATATGCTTCGTGGCCGACCTTAGATTCAACACGATTTCAATCATTACTGGACAGACTAGAGTCGGAAAAATTTGATTTCGATCAACAATTTGCAATCGTAGAAATATTAAGGAATAGACAATTTTTATTGTCGTTTGAACAAGTCGAACGTCTTCTGCAGGAGTTCAGATTTAATCCTACGTACATGCTAACAATATTCCAATGGAGTTATGATCGAATATGGAACAAAGATCAGCAGAAAATATATAACCTCATCGATGACTTCTTCCGATTCTTTTCTATGGAAAGAAGAACACTTAATGAGTACATCGGAAGATACAGAAATTTTTTAAACTAATATCTTTTATTGGAATACATTTTTAAGATGACGAAAATAAATAAAACAAGTAAAGATCATTTCATTGTGTATACGCTTAAGTGGATACTTGAAATCAGCACTTTGGATCGTACAATAAAACACGTGTGATCATATAATCCTCAATATGAGCAGAAAATAACTGAGAATCCCCAATCTCGCTAGTTACAAAGGTCCATACGATGGCCTGATCTAGGGTGTGTGAGTGGGAGTCAGGGTGGGGTTGTGAGTGTTCTTATCATATACACCCATACACACACACCAACACCCACACCCACCCACACCCACACCCACACCTACACCCACACCCACCCACACCCACACCCACACCTACACCCACACCCACCCACACCCCCACCCACACCTACACCCACACCCCAACCCTCACCCACATCATAAGGCCTTTGCTTTAGCAATCAATAATAATTTATTTTATTGAACAAAAACAAAAAAAAGATGTTTTATTTTATGAAGAACTAATATTTGATATTAATTTCCATTCTATATAAACATAGTCAACTATACGTTTGATAGTATAATCGCAGGCAATTCGATTATTAATTATTGTTCTTTTTAATTTTTTGATAGTTCCATCATCTGCTGCTGGAATACGAAAACACAACGAACGAACATGATTTATTAGAATAGTGTCACTTATGTCGATGAAATAATTTAAAATCGACGTAACATCTTGATCTATAACATTTATAGAATCTATTTTGAGATAAGTCATATTAGGACACAATGTCAAAAGCAAAAATAAGTCACGAATCTTGTTCACATTTTCTATGTAAACTTCTGTAATTTTACTTGTTTCCTTTGTTGAACTTGCCATTGAAAACTCTTCATAATTCAATTCTGAGTTATTCCAATTTACAGAATGAATTTTCAATGTCTTAAGATCTGCTAAGACAGAGAGAAGTCGAATGAATAATGGAATATATATAGATGTTTCAATAATTTCTAAATGATAAATATTTGTTATTGTTAATATATACATTATATCTTCTGATATTATTGCACCGGAATCAGTATCATCGGAATCAGTATCATCGGAATCAGTATCATCGAAATAACTGATAGTTAATCGAGTCCATTTTGAATAATCAATAGAAGAATGTAAACCTTCATCTTTTCCATATTGATACCATCGTTTTCTGTTAAAAAATAAAAATAAAAATAAAATGTATATATGTAATGTCTATTATATGAAACAAAACAATTGGATTTGATGAAAAATTCAAAAATTCTGAAAACTATTTTAAAAAATAACAATTACTTTGTATATATTTTTTTCCAAAAAAAAAAAATTACGCCGATACAGGACCTTAAATCTTTTGTTTAATAAATAAATATTTTCAAAAGACTAAAGATAAACAAATTGTATTCATGTTACTTAGAAGGTTACTACAAATACAGTTTCTCTTTGCATTTCATCAAGTGTATTGTAAAATGTCAATTAGCGAGAAATTTATTTTTAGAAAATTCTTATATGAACATGTTTTCTTCTTGATCTTACAACAATAATCAATTTTTTAATTTGTTTAGCATAGATTATTATTTTCAATTTCAAAATCGAAAACTAAAGATGAAGTTATGTAAAAATTGAATTTCAACGTACCTGTACGGACGAACTATATAGTTAATAGACTCGTTATTAATTTCAACTTCGAAAAACCATCGTCGATCGATCCAAAATGATGAACTGAATGGATTTATTCTACCAGAATATGGATGTTCATTTTTGGGAGAAAAATTTTCATCATATATAAAATGTAGTTCTTCTAGATGAGGTAAAGATGTTAAAATTAAATTTTCCCAATAATCACCTTGAAGAAAATTTGCATCTTGAACTAAAAATTCAATATGTAAAATTTTCAATGTTGAACAAATTTTTTTAATAACAATTTCAAACTGATGAAAATTTAAAGAATATAAACGTGTCCATAGATACGTCAAATTTGGTAATCGTACCGGTAACAATGTTTGAATATTAATATTATGATCGATACCATTAGGTATTATTAAACGACAAAGATTAGGTGTATAAGATGTAAGAGTAAGAATTTCATTCAATCTATAGGAGGTATACAAAGCAAGAATTTCAATTCTACTATATTGTTCCTTAGTAGCAATAGGAAGTGTTATTTTATTTCTGCTGCCATAATGAAATCGGCATGATTTTAATTGAGGTAAAGCGAATATTAATCGAAAGAAATTATCAGGTTTTTTACATTCAAAATCTGTGAAAATAGCCAAAACGAAAAGTCGAGGTAAACAAACTAAATGAGGAAGCAATGAAAGTATATCTGAATCGTTTGCATTAATATAAATTGATTCGAGACAAGAATATGATGCGTCGATGGTAATGAATTGTAATACTTTATTGATTGATGATCCGATGTATAGATGAGCAGAAACTATTTTATGTTTATTATGTAGAAGAAATCGATTATAATCATCATTGACAGATGATCCATCTAATGTTCTATCGTGAAGATATAAATGAAATAAAGGCGATGATGCATGAAGAATTTGTTGAAAACGATGATTTAGATTTGAAAATGCCTGATAGATAGCGTTAACATATAAATAATCAAAGATTTCACAGAAAAGTTCGTCTGATAATTTCTCAATAGAAGTGATCGATTGAATTGCCTTATCTATGAATAAATACGAAAATAAAAAAAAAAGATCTTTATATCTATTAATCAACTGACTTTGCAATTTCTTTGTTTCCTCTGTAGACGATTCACCAAAAGTTAATTTTCGTTTAGTTATGTCCATATACAATTATTAATCAGTACGATTTTCAACAGTAAGTAGTTCGTTGATACAGTCAATCTCTTAATTGATTAGATGTAAGAAGTTTATATGCAGTTCACAACACAAGAATATCCTCATATGCATTGCGCCGAGTAGAAAAGACAAAGAAAATAATTCATTGTTCTAAAATCTACGATCATACAAAGGAAAAAGTGCAGCAAAAAAAACACCAATCAACAACATAATGTGCTATTAATAGCGATATCTATTTCTTACAATTGCATAAGAAAAAATTTGTCATATAAATACTAAAAATAAATTACTCTAGAAAATCAAATAAACAATTTTTGTCTAACATATCTATTTAATGTGCATTGTGTCGCTAGTGATTACAAATATGTATTGATAGTCTATTGACACACTAGTATGGACGCTCAGCCGAAAAAACAGCTCAAATAAGTGAAACAATAGCAAATGCTCTATGATTGGTTGTTTTTTTTTAGAAGGGGCTAGTTATAAGATTGGCATCAGTAGATAGAGAAAATTTTTCTCTATCGAACTGTATATTTGGTTTAAAAAAAAAGAGGCAGTGCCATGAAATCATCAAAATACTCTGACCAATCCTAACACAGATCATTTATAATGACGTTATTATTGAGACGGCATGGCCAAACATTTTGTTTGAGTTTCTCAATTTTTTTAGTCAAATCGAGCTCTTTCATTATTAGTCGATCATATCAAACTATCGAAAAAAATTTTCTAAAAGTCTAATGCATAAGATTGGTATCGTTAGAAAGAGCGCAAAAAACTGAGTATTACCCTAGAATATGAGCGCGGGGTATAGTATAGTCCCAAGCAAAAATTTTTAAAACAAAATTCCCTGCAAGAAGAACTTTTTTGTTCCTTGTTCAGTTTTTTCTTTCGTTCTGTCATACGCGTATACACACACATATATATATACGAACGACAGAACGAAAAGAAAGACTTTCTGTATATATGTTCAGAAGAGTGCATAACATTCTTCATGATGATAATTCATAATTGAAATATTATTTAGGGTGTGGGTGTGGGTGTGGGTATGTGTGTGGGTGTGGGGTGTGGGTGTGGGTGTGGGGTGTGGGTGTGGGTG